AAGGAGGGGGCTTTGTAGAAAACGAAGCGTTTGAGAGAGGCGGGGCATAGAGGACCTACAATAATGTACAGTATTTGAAAAATAATGTGTTTTTTGAACATTAAAGCATGTCAACATATTCTGTTACACCAAATACACCAAATAATGATCTTTAAAAAAGCATCATATGACCCCTTTAACATGTCAGGTGTCATTTCATTCTTCAGACTGTAGAGGGCAGTTTTGAAAGGAAACACTATAAACTAGAACAAGGAATTCATGTTTTGTACATTACATGCAACACATAAACAGATCAATTGTTATAATAACTTGGTGTGAACAGGTTTAGCAGAGTTTCACGTTGTGTTTTGTTCTCTTGTTGGCAGTGTCATGTAAAGTGATTGACAGATATACGTTTGTATCTTATCAGAAATCAGTGATGCAAAGCAAAAGCTTCTATGTAGAAGTTTCCTACAACCCTCCATTTCAATTCCAGTAAAAAAGATGAACCTGTCATGAGATGAATTGTGTGCGTGCATGCGAAGGAGTGCTAGTGTGTAACTTGTGTGTCTGACAAGTTTCATTTTCAGAAGAGCCTTTGCTCAGCACAAAAAAAGTGTATTGTGTGTATTGACACAAGAGGAGCGAAAAGCTCTTAGTGATAATTGTAACTGGCCAGCCACCGTGCAGCAGAGGTCAGAGAGGAGAAACCAGAGGGCTGAATTCAAAAGGTCTGTGCCAAAATTCTTTCACACATTCCAGTAGGTTTGCAACAGTTAAAAAGTCATTTCCAACAAGATGTGATCTGCATAATATGACACTGCAGATTTGACTTGAACTGGTTGCTGCCAGTCCATCATTAGAAAGCTCAGGGGTGCTCAATCCTGTTCCTGGAGATCTACCTACCTGCACAGTTCAGATACAACCCTGATTCAACACACCTGTCTGTAATTATCAAGTGCTCCTGATGATCTTAATTAGCGTTAATTGTGTTTTATCAGGGTTGGAGCTGGACTTTGCAGGGTGGTAGATGTCCAGGAACAGGATTGGACACCCATGAGCAAGACAGTATTGAATAGAGTGCTGCAGGAATGAGTCACAAAACCCAGAAATAAGTTAGCATTTTTGCATTTCCAGTTCCATTGTCTTGAAGTCAATGGGTTTTTTGAATGAGTTTTTGGTTAAATGCCTGAAATAAGGTCTTTGGTGAATATAAGCTCAAGGTATTTTCTTGTTTTATTGTACAATACAAAACACATTAGTAATAGCCCACTTGTGATTTTTTTAAGCTTTTATGTGTCTTGAAAAAGATGGTTGCCAACCAGTGGGTAAATGAGAGAGAGGTTGTCAGGGACAATAGACGTCATTAAATATTCTAACTCAGATTTTCCAACTTGTAGATTTTTAAATAAATATCGAAAGAGTTGTTAGAAGCTTAATGGTGGTGATGTTGAAATCATGTGACTGTGGTATAGTTTGTTTATATATATTTAACTTTAGCATTTTACTTCTGGTAATTGTATTTAGACTTTAAATTATGTGTCTTCATTTGTGAATGTTATCTTACTGAACAAAATGTGTAAGAGTCTTTTGTTGGCCATAGAGCCTATTTTCTGCAGTAATCCAAAAGCTAATGGAAAACTCTTATTGGCTCTTTGTCCAGGAAAGCAGGGTGATGCTAACTTCTGGGTTGGCCTGCAAAAATACACTGAACAAAATTATAAATGCAACACTTTTGTTTTTGCCCCCATTTTTCATGAGCTGAACTCAAAGATCTAAGACTTTTTCTATGTACACAAAAGGCCTATTTCTTTCAAATATTATTCACACGCTAATATCGTTATCTTTATAGTTATCTTTATAGTTATCGCTCTTGGTGTGAACGGGGCTTAAGGCACACCTGTGCAATAATCATGTTGTCTAATCAGCATCTTGATATGCCTCACCTGTGAGGTGGATGGATTATCTTGGCAAAGGAGAAGTGCTCACTAACACAGATTTAGACAGATTTGTGAACAATATTTGAGAGAAATAGGCCTTTTGTGTACACAGAAAAAGTCTTAGATCTTTGAGTTCAGCTCATGAAAAATGGGGGCAAAAACAAAAGTGTTGCGTTTATAATTTTGTTCAGTGTACATAATCACTGCAACACTGTATAGTGGAACAAAGATTGTAACAACACCAAGAGCCCAGATATCACCAGTGAGTGGTCCATGTTTCAATCAATGCACACCAAATACCATCTGCAAAACATGTACATTTGGCAAACTTACCAAATAGTATAATTTTGAAGAAATCATTTTGTGAAAATGTGCAAAGGTACATCATTGGGGTCTGTATTGTGTATGACAAGCCAGTGGCCACATCAGTACAGCTACGACTCCTACACTTGATGGGATGTGTAAAGTCTACTGAAAAGGCCCATTCCTCTCTCCAAATGAATTGAGCCTCTTTCATCAGGATCAATATATGCCTGAGATCCTGCCAGGCTGGGAATCATAAATCTGACTTGCAGTGAGAAGGAAAGCAAGCGAGAAGGAGAGAGAGGGCAGATGGGAAAGGGAGGATGAGAGAGACGACGGCTCCTCTTAGCCTAATGGAGGACGGTTCAAAAGTTTAACGCGCCGGCCACCCGCTCACGTCTTTATAACCTCTTTGAGTCATTGTGTGCGGGTGAGGGCCGATCGCATCGATGGCCATTAAACCAAATGGGG